ATTGTCTATTAATAGCTTAGAAAATTGTTAGTGATTGAAAAGATCTTAGACATAAGGTGACATTTGTTCTTAGGTTATTTTTTACCATGAAACAGTATGCGCACAAAAATGAAACACACCATCTAAACCATATTGCAAAATCTGGATAAATTAGGTGATTCTGCGTGATAAAAAAAATGTGCAAGGTTTTTTGAGATGTCAGCCAATCCGCAAAGGCTCAATGCTCATTAGGAAAAAATTTTATCGTAAGAGTTGGCGATTGAAGGCGAGATGTACATTAGTAGTTTGCCTGCAAAAGCTGTTTTCAAATCTGCTTGCCATTTTTTTTTGCAACACATCTTTGGAGCAACTTTCTGGAAGAAATATGAGCGATTTGTCCATTTGTCGAGCTCAAGTGGCCTAACATTAGGGGAAAGCCGTACAAAACCATGTGAAAGTGGGTAATCAGTTATATCAGATATAAGGTCTGCAGGGAAGGAACAAAGCCGGTGAAGACATGCAAAGTGTTGTTTTGAAGCTTTCCGCTAGTTTTCAGCCACCTAATGCTTGACAATGGACATTTGAACGCTCACAATTCATTTGGGGAGTTGTTCCGCTAAAAAAGAAAAGCAGATTTGGAGTCAACGCCTAAGGACGCATCTAGTGATATACATCTCGTCTTCGATCGCCAACTTATGTTGGTATCCTTCCCTTCTGAGAGCCATTCTTATCATACTGTAACTTTAAATTCCTGTCAACTCTACAATATAGTGCTCGATAGCGCAAGGTTTTAAACAGAAGAGTGAAAATCAAGCTTCGCCAAATTTTATTGAAAACCTTGTATAATCGGCCTTGCGCATTAAAACCGCTGAGATACAAATATTCAGGCTGATGATAATCTTCATCATATTGGCCGCTGTACTGCTACTTGCTATCCTTGGGACGCTTCTCTGGCTGCTTGCCAAGCGAAGAAAACAAAAACCGAAAAAAGGTAAACAAATGCACTTCACGCTAACATTTACAGATTCTACTTATCACAATTCAAGTATATTGATTAACGATCGATAACTGTCTATGAGCAGCATCCAATCTATTGATCGCATGAGTTTGATTCTTATGCATGCGGTTTTCAATCGAATTGCAGCAGGCTATATGGGGGACGAGTCGGCATCGAAGGGAGGCTACACCGCTCTGCACTCGCAACGATATGGTGGCAATGGACGAGATTCCGATGACCGAGGAGTACTCGTCCACGAGCAGGAAACCTACAGTACACCAGACCACCTATACGGTGGTTACGGTAGTCGCTATAGTCATAGCGATAGCCATC